TGTGAGGTGAAGGACTTTGTGAACTGGTGTTGGGTTAATGGGTTAATGTTGGACTTGTGGGCTTGCGCAGCATTGGGTTGGGATGTTTTCGTGATGCACCTTTTCTTTACATAAAACTCTCTCTTATACATGAGTCGCTGTGGATTTGTTTCTCCAAAGTACCTAGACTATTACAGCTTCTATCTTCTATCTCTGATGACCAGGTTTGGTGTCAGTTTGGCTTGACTACAAAACCAAAAACTACTGCCATCAAGTTTACTCCATCACATATCAACCCTATAAAGGTATCCAAGCCCGTAAACCTGTATGAAGGTAGACAGCTTCATCTTTCTCACACAGAGAAGGTGGTAGCTTCGAAACACAGACCTTGTGGTGAAGTGGATTAACGCTTACCCCATAGCAGTGCCACCAGGGCTCCCAGTTATCCAATCAAACACTAATGCAGGTAGTGTTGTGAGGATATTTTTCAGTCAATGGACATTGAGTTAAGGAAGCGATCCTCCATAATCTGAGTATGCCTCCTTCAACGAGCTGACCGGCCTAACAAAACTAAGCACTCCTGAGGAAGATCTTCTATCTCCAGACAGCAGTATCAACCACAGCCTTTGTATTTCTACCCTCCCAGAATGGCCTCCACATTTAGGACTTGGCCAGCCCCACAGTCAAATTAGCCAATTCCTTGGTAGATATATGGGTGTGTGTCTCTTAGTGTCATGTTACAATCTGTGAAATAGGATTTATGATATTTAGATGTGGTGTGAACATGACCATTATATACAGATAGTCCTTGGATCGTGAGTCAATTCTATTCCTAAGTCTGTCTTTGAGTTGAATTTGTATGTAACTCAGAACAGTTAGATACAATTCATATCTAATCAGTCAAAGGTCTACCATAGTATACAATAGTGTGTCTTTCTACTCATAGAAAGCTTAAATACACAAAAATTAAATCTCCTTTATCAATAGAGCAGTAATAGCGGTAGTGTTTTGATGTGTACCACAAAGTAGTGCTTGTTTCTTATTACAACCCATTGTAGGTCTTTGGAATTCTTAATAGAACAGCCTTTCTAAAGGCTGGGACCATAGACCTGTATGCAGTCAAATGTTGCCCAAACGAACACTGTGCAGGACATGACTGTATAGATACAAAAATGCTTCAGAGAGTTCATGGGTAAATCCCATTGTTTGTAACTTCATTTTTCCATGAGCATTTTGAAGCCCCCTTGTGTTCTACTGATTCTGATTCTGACTGAATTCTCTAAAGAGTCTTGATGGATTTACTACCATTGGCATTATTTTGCTTCCAGTGTTTGCCTTACTGCTAATTACTTTCTTCATTTGTAAATTGCTATGGCAGATTCACTGGAAAAAAAACTTAAAACATTGTATAGCTACAAACCAGACTCACTCCCTCACTGCCCACAAGTCAATGCCGGCTCATAGAGATCCCATGGAGCAGAGGAGAACTGCCCCTTTGTGTTTCTCAGTCTGTAAGTCCCTATGGGGGTAGAGAGGCTCATTTTTCTGCAGTAGAGATTAACTTTAGTTATGCAGAAAAAAATAAAGGCTGTCCCAGCATTCCCTTGTCCTTGGCTAAATCTTTCAAACTGTTTTCCACAAAGCGAAAGAGAGCAGTAACTGAGGAACAAGCCACCCTTTCAGCCATTGGGTTTCTAAGACCCTTTCAGTAATAAACTAGTGGTCCCAGCTTTGATTCAAAGTCCAACACAATTTTTATTCCACATTTCAGTGCTGTTTGAGTTATTCTACAATGTGTTTACATTCAAAATGGGCTGTCATTAATTCCCCCCTCCCAAAGCAACTCTAAAAGTAGCCCACTTTATTCATGATGGAAAAAAAAAAATCTAACTAGTCAAAGATCTTCTTGAAGTAGTAGTGCTCGACACTACAGCTCAGAGGCAGAAACTGTGCACCTGCATCCTTTTGGCTGTCTGTCGACACAAATGGACATACCTGCTCAGAAAGACAAAGTGAATGTGAATGGATACATTGATTGTGTAAGTTATAGAGGCGGGGGTGACCACCTATTATAGGAAAAAAATAAATGAATAAACATTCCTGGTGGGTAGGGAAACATAGATAAGGGTTCCACTTTATTTCTCTATCCATTCATCCATTTATCTATTTATTTATTGTTCCTAAGGGTAGGGTGGGTGGGTTGGGGGGAGGCGATGAAGAAGAAAGAAAATGTTTTGAAACTGATTGTGGTAGCAATTGTACACTACTGCGCCATGTGATTGAACTATGGAATGTTATGGTATCTGTAAGAACTCCCAATAAAATGATTATAAATTTTTTAAAAAAGAAAGACACAGTGAAGTATGATGAAATGGGCAAAGCCCCAGAGTCAGAAAACTGGAAAGGAAGACCAGGCTAAGCTTATCTTGAACTGGGAAACCTGAAGGGACAAAAGCAAGCTAGAGTTGCAATATTGAAAAATTCGATGGACAAATATTGAATGATGCTGGATGGATTAGAAGACATTGAAAAGAATATACAGAGGAGTCACTGTACCAAAAAACACTAGTTGACATTCAACCATTTCAAGAGGTACCAAAAACTCAAGAACCTGAAGCCCAAACTGTCCTGAAAGGGTTGGTCAAAAACAAGGTTCAGGAATTGAGAGTATATCAATGAAATAGTTCAACAAGCTGAGGAAGCACTAGAAGGACTCACTGGTCTATTCCAAGAAATTTGGAACATGGCTATTTGGACAAATGACTGAAAAAAATCCACATTCCAGAGGAAGATGAACCATGAGGATGCTCAAATGATAGAGCAGTCTCATCAATATCACATGGAAGTAGAATTTTGCTGCAGATCAGTCAACAATGATTGCAGCAATACACTGACAGGGAGCTGCCAGAAATTTAGGCGTAATTCAGAAGAGGACATGGAACAAGGGCTATCATTGCTGATGACAGATGGATCATGACTCAAAACAAAGAATGCCAGAAAGATGTTTACTTGTGTTTTATTGACTATGCAAAGTCCTCTGACTGTGTGGACCATAACAAACTAGGGATAGCTTTGAGGAGAATTGGAATTCCAGAACACCTCATTGTGCTCATGCAGAATTTATACATTGGTCAAGAGGCAGGCAATGAAACAGAACAAGGAAATAGTACATGATTTAATTTCAAGAAAGGTTTTCATCAGGGTTGTAACCCTTTACCCCACTTATTACATCTGTGTGTTTAACAAATAATCAAAGAAACTGGATTATATGTACAGAAAACCGAAATTCTAACAACTGGATCAATGGTAACATCATGATAAATGAGAAAAAAATTGGATTTGTCAAGGATTTGTCTTGCTTAGATTCACAGTCAATGCTCAAGGAAGCAGTAGTCAGGAGGTTAAATGATGGGTTGCACTGGATAAACCTATTGCCCTGGGCCTCTTTAAAGTATTAAAAGCAAGGATGTCACTTTGGTATGGATGCCTCTCAGATTCCAATGAGGATATTCATGGGACCCTCAAACCTGGACTAACTGAGCAATTTAGAGCCATGTCTCTGCACCCACTGCTCCCAAGCAATGGTCCCTTTTGACCCCACAAGCAGAGATCCCCACTGCTGGGCCAGCCCCAATCTCATGCTCCACTTCTATGCCCAGCACTTTTCTCTTGGCTCCTCTTTTATTAACCTGTCTCCAGCCCAACTCCCTCCGAAATTAAGCTTAGCTCATTTCTTTTCTAAACATTTTATTGTGGATTAGGTGAGGGTTTAGAGATCGGTTTTCCATTCAGCAATTCACACATATTTGGTTCCATTTCATTGATTGTAGTTTCCACAATGACATAGAATTTATATCATTTCCTTTTGATATTTCCTATTTCCATTTCTTCCTTCCTTCCTAAGCTTTCAGAACGTGGTCCTTGGGCAAATGCTGCCATTTTGATCTCAAGTAATTTATTTTTCTAAGGTTTGTGTGCCTCACTAGTTCCTTGTACAGACTCATCAATTGTTTGGCTGAAAACAGAGAATACGTGCCATTGAGGTGGTCATGACTTTTAGGGACTTATGGTGACCCCACATGACAGAGTAAAACTGCCCCTGTGAGTTTCTGAGATGAATTCTTTACAGGAGTAGAAAATCCTGTCTTTCCCCTGAGGAGTGACTGGTGGTTTCAAACTACTGACCTTGAGGATTGCAGCCCAACACATAACCACTATGCCACAAAGGCTCCCGTCTTGGACCAGAGGTGATATGAGTGCCTCTCGCTCATCCGAATCCGTTTGCAAACGGGAAAAGAGTCCGTACTCCATCCAGCTACTTTTTGCCTACGACTGAAGCTCTTGGGTTCTTCTTACCTTTCTTGAGCAGCTTTGGAATGTGCAGAATAGTACTGGTGACGGGCATACATGTATGCCAGGCCTAAAAACATGGCGAGGCCTGGAAACACACATAATAAAAAAAGATTCAGAATGGGAAAGCAGCCTCTCAAGAATGTCACGAAGACGGAGAGTATATTCATGAAACATGACCACAACTTGTTTCCAAAATATAGAGCTTGTTTGCACTTAATACCCACTAGTAAGAAAAGAAAAAAAAAACACTTTTTTTTTTTAAATAGAGGAAGGATTTGAATAGACTCTTTACATCGAAAGATCAGCACATGAAGGGAGAAAGTTAGCATCATTGGTCATCCACAAGCAGCAACTTAATAGTTGACACCAGTGCACACCCACCACACTGCCATCCACTTGATGTCGACTCACAGTGACCCTGTAGGACAGGGTAGAACTGGCCCTGTGAGTTTTAGAGACTGTACATTTCTATAGAAGTTAAAGGCCCAGTCTTTATCCCCTGGAACAGCAGGTGGTTTTGAACTGTTGACCTTGTAGTAGCAGCCCAATTTGTAGCCACTATGACACCAAGGTTCCTCAGACCTCTATAAAAAATGATTGACCACACAAAATGTTGCTGAGGAGATGGAGCAACTGGAATTCGAATACATTATTGGTGGAAATGCAATATAGTCCAGGTACTTTGAGCAAAGTCTGCTCCTTTTCTCAACAGACACTTCTCGTTTGACTAAGCAATTCCATTCCTATCTATTTTCCCACCCCCCAAAATAAAAGCATGTGTCACTTAAAAAAATGTGTGTATGAATCATGATTGCCCTTTTTCATAGTAGCCCCAAATTGGAATTATCCTGGAGGTCTATCAATGGAAGAGTGGATAAACAATAGGGGTATGGTTATACAAAAGATAACTAATTAATACTTAAAAGTAAATACTGGATGAGCCAGTCAGGGTGCAGTATAGTACCAATGAAACACACAACTTTCTTCTTCTTCTTTGGTGCATTCTTCCCCCCACTATCATGATCTCAATTCTACCTTGCAAATCGATTAGACCAGAACATGCACACTGCTACAGATAAGAGCCCGCAACACAGGGAATCCAGGATAGATAAACCTCTCAGGGCCAACAAGGAGAGTAGAGATACCAGGAGGATTAGGGGAGGGTGGGGGGAGCAAGGGGGAATTGATCACAAGGATCAATCTATAACCCCCTCCCAGGGGGACGAACAATAGAAAAGTGTATGAGGGGCGATGGAGGACAATGTAAGAAATGAAAATAATCATCTATAACTTATCGAGTGTTCGTGAGGGAGTTGGGGAGTGAGGGGAAGAAATGGGGAGCTGATATCAGGGGCTCAAGTGGGAGGAAAATGCTTTGAAAATGGTGATGGCAGGTATGTGCAAATGTGCTTGACACACTAGATGAATGTATGGATGGTGATAAGAGCTGTAAGAGCCGCCAATAAAAGTATTTAATAATAAAAAAGTAAATACTGATATCTAAAACAACTTAGTGAACATAAAAGACATTGTGTTCAGTGAAGAAAGCATGACATCAGAGTACATACTGTAGGACTCTACTTATGTGAGGCTCTAGAATGGGAAAACCTAAAACTGTGAGGACGTTAGAACAATATCAGTCTCTCATCTTGAAGTGAATGAGGAGTGGAACTGACAAGGAGGAGCATGAGCGACCCTCTGGGTGGTGACCATCCTGTGTCTGGATAGAGATTTGGTCACACAGCTACATGCACGTCTCAAAACTCCTCAAATGTTACATTAAACGTTGGTGGATTTCACTATAATGGAAATTTTATCAGGTGGGAAAAGAGCAGGTGGTGTGATGTTCTGCCCTTCTACCTAATGAAAACATGAATGTCCTTCTTACTTTGATCTGAGGTGCCATCAAAGTGGTTCCAATTCATAGAAACCCTATCGGCAACTGAGGAAACCGCTCCCTGGTGGCGTGCCATCCTCAGAACTGCTGCTGTGTGTGAGTCCACTGCTGTAACCATGGGTCAGCCCATCTCCTGGAGGGCCTTTCTCGTTTTCATGTCCCATTTTCTCTCTTTTTCACTTCACCAAGCATGATCGCTTTCTCCGGAGATCGACTGGTCCCTCCTGATTAAATGTCCAAAACACATGAAGTGAAGGCTCCCATCATCCCTTCGGAGAAGCATTCTGGGTGGTGCTCAGCCTTGTCCTGAATTATGGTTTTGAGCTTCCTCCTCAAGCCTTTTCTCATCAAAGAGTGAATTTGATTCGGGTGGATCTCATCCGGTGAGATTCATGGGCACAGCCACTCTTTCAGTTGTTGAAAAAGGCATTTCCAGTGAGCAGTTCATTCGGTATTGCAAAATTCTATCACATGGTTTCTGTCACCAAAGCCTGGCTTTCCACCGGTTAATCTGTGTTTTTTATTTTCACCTTTTCAATTCCAATGACTAATCATGATCAATAAGTCTTGATTGTATGTTGCTCAACTTCAGACTGAAAAATATGGCAAAAATGATTTTCCTTTCCTTGGAATTAGTGATTGGCCTGTAAAGGAGAGTAGTCATTGTATTGACCAGTCTTCTTTGCAGGTATATGGATATCATCCTACCACTGGCAGCATTGTATTTCTGGATAGATCTTGAAATGATTTTTTTGACAAGTATGAATCTGTTCTTCAGCCATATGACACTCCAGGCATATAGACCACATGACGGTCTGATCCAAAAGGGCCCTCACCAGTCCACTGCAGCACCCTAATGCCTAGCACGCTGATCTGCAAGTGTTCCGTTTCATTTTTTACAACTTCCAACTTTCCTAGATTCATACTTCAGAAATTCCACACTCGGGTTATTCATAGATGTCGGCAGTTGTTTCCTCTCATTCGTACCTTAGAGATCCCTCTTCCCTCATCGTCTCCCAGATGAAAAGTCCCAGAGCCTTGTGGTAAATGTTGGTGTCTATCTATGGGATGCTGATATTTCGGATGTTAGTCATCATTTCATTTCATCACAGGCTCCTTCGACTTCTACGATAAGCCAGGCAGTATTCTAAGTATGGAAAAGGTAGAAAAGCTATCTGCCTTCATGGAGTTTTTATTTATTTAAATTTTTTAAAAAGTTTTTTAGAAACACATTTATTTCAGAAAATTACAAGCTGTTTTAGTAGTCAATTGTGGTATTAATATTCATCTTTCTTTTTAGCCTTCTAATATTTCTTATTCTAATCAGAAACCTCTGTAATTTTTCACTGTTAGCGTTCCATTAACCAATCACATGGGGGTGTTCTTTAGCACATTGGGAGGGCATACAAAACAGAGATTGTTCTTGAGGACATTCTGGGTACAGATAATCAGAAATGACAATCATGCTGTATAGAGCTTGCTCTTGCTAAGCAAAATAACATTTACAGACTATATATTTTTATTAACACACATAAATATGAGAAATGCCTACCTGTTATAATACAATTAAAAAATCTTTATCAAGGGCTCATGAGGGAGGGGGGAGGGGGGGAGCATGGGGAAAAAAATTCGGACCTGATGCCGAGGGCTTAAGTGGAGAGCAAATGTTTTGAGTAAGATGAGGGCAATGAATGTACAAATGTGCTTTACACAATTGATGTACATATGGATTGTGATAAGAGTCATATGAGCCCCTAATAAAACGATTTTAAAAATTATATAAATAAAAAATAAACTCTTCATGGAGTTTTTATTTAATTAGCAGACATACAACATATAATAAAAAACATACAGACTTGAAAGTATTATGGAAGAATGAAAAGAAGTGCAAATGGAAGGAGGCTGCTACATTTTTCTCCCGTTTTATGCAGGACCAACTATTTTCTCCCTGCTCAGAGCGGTCAGCACTGGTACCCAAGTTTGATGGGTCCTGGTACAGCGCTAATTAGACTAGTCTATTAGCACTGCAGGCGAGTTTCCTCTTTGAGGCTTTCATGTCTTTATTATTTGTTCCAGATGCTTATGGACCAGTAGATGAGAGACCCTCTAATCACTATAATTATTACACTCAATGGCTAAGTCTTTGCTTGTTTGTCCTCTCCTGCCCCCAGGAGTCAAATTAGTATTAGACACTCAGATTTGAAGACAACGTTCATGACTTTTTCAAACTTGAATATCAACTACATAGTTTCATCACATATACATATGATGAAAAAGAAATAAAACCACTGCCAGCAAGTCAATTCTGACTCACAGCAATAAAACATATACATATGTATGCACACCCATATATATTGAATTTAATTGTAATCCAACAAAAATTAGCATATATACACTGAGTTGTCTCTGGTGGACATAGACATTATTTACTTAAAAAAATAAAAGTTTCCAGGATCAGTAAAGGTATGTGTGGTAGTTACATAATCTCTTGTCAACTTGATAAATAGAATGAGGGGGTGGAGTCTAGACTGTCCAACAGGACACAGTCTGATGATGGTTCCTGGTGGGTGTTGCCTTCTCATGAGAATTCTGGGAACTTTCTTCCTCCCTGGAGTCAGGATGCACTCTCTCTGTTCCACCTTCCTATTGGAGAGGAACACTCAGAGAATTGGAGGAGCCACCACTGAGATGCTTCCACCGGCAATCGATCCACAACAGTATGTATTGGATCCTAACACAGGACAGCAGTCCATAATTCTAAATACCACAGTCATCATTAGAATAGAGTTGACTATATTTTTTAATTACCTGGGTTGAAGTGCCACACAGCCATCCAGCAGGTAATCATAAAGAGGGGATCAAACTCCACACAGTTTTGTCTGCAGGAAGAAAGAAGTCATTTCTTCATCTAGAAGTAAGGATC